CCTCAGCAGGCCAAACGCAACGCCTGCGGGCGAGACATCAAACCGCTTTTTGACTTCGATAAACGCCACTACCTCACACTGTCCAATCTCGCCATCCACTTGTGCAACAATTCTCGCCTCATGCAATCCTGGCGCTTGAGGTGCATATCCGTCGAATATAAGCCAGGTTCGCTGATTCTCGTCCGTCTCCAGCGATACGTTGACCGTTTCTAATATTGTGTGTGTTGAGACGCTCCGGAAAGATACTCCAGGAGTTTCATACTTATGGTGAATCTCATCACCAGCTGTCACGGACGGCAGACTCAGGCTGATCGTTGTGTAGTCCTGGGCTGTACCAACATCAACGGACGCGAGTACCTCGAAACGCGGAAACGCGGGATGGTCAGTGATCAACTGTGCACTGACTTCTCTGCGGCCACGCATCCCGGTTACATCTACTCGCATCGCAATATCGGCTGCCGCGCCGCTGGGGATTACATAGCTGCTGATGTCGAAAGCTGTGCACGTGCACGACGTCGATGTCTCAGTGATGGTGACGTCTCGGCTTGAGTCATTGTGCAGCCGGTACGTGGCCGTGACTGCTGTTTCTTCCCGGAGGTCTATGGGACCGATATGCTGTACTGCAGGTGCCAGGTAGATGGCACCGCCAGTCCGGCGCGGCATCGTCGCCCATACACCGAAAGAAATGAAAGTCACAACAAGCAGCAGAGTAACGGCTCTACGCATCACGATTTCTCCGCCGACGAATCACGATGTACAGAACGACGCATCCGAGCACGGCCAGATTGAAGACAATCACTGCTCTTCGCGACCCGGTCCACGCAGACTCGGCATCTTCTGCGGCAGGCAACGGCTGTAGTCCGAGATTGCCCGGAGGAAGAGCGGCCAAAACATGGTCGCTGGTATCTTCGTCGTCGCCGTAAACAACGGGAAAATCGCGGTGATACTTCCTGAAGTATTCAACGGTGATTGGGTGGCTGAGTTCCGGCAGCGCGACGGGTTCGATGATGATGACTTCACGCCGCCCCGGCCCGTAGCCCGGCCCCGACGACCGGGTCACAACCCGTCGCGGCCGTATCGCACTCTCGACGTGATCTGCCTCAACAGACGACTCAACCACAATCTGAGACGCAGCTGGCCCCATCTCAAGACGTGTCCGTGTGCCGGCCTGACCACCGTTGATGGTGAGTTCGTACGAGATGGATGCCGGACTGGGTCCAGCACTCCGCGCATGTACGAAGAATGTGTGGCTCACCGGATCATACCTGACGTTCGCGTCCGGCGAGGCCAGAACTGATGCAATTGGAAACTCAGCGACTTCCGTAATGGCCTTCAACGGGTTGAGCAGGGTGTCATCGATCTGTCTCTGTACGTTAATGCCACTGCTGGCATCGTGTACTCGCAGGTTGGCGTACTGTGTGACTGAAGACTCCACGGCGGTGAACCGGTACAGCTTTCCGCCTGACTTTGCCAGCACCTCACGGACATCTATCTGCGGCTGGTCAGCCGGCTGATCGTCGCGGTCATCAAAAAACTCGATAACAACTTGCCCGGATTCAACCCATGCTCTGCCGCGATACTGTTCAGACAGCCCGTCAAGCGAGAAGCCCGGGGGACTAGTTGAATCATCTGTCCCGGCATAACACATGAACGCCCCGCTGAAGTTGCTCGCGGATTCCGCTGCAAGAGCAAGAGCGTCTGCAAGGTCGCCCAGGTCGTCACCGACACATGGCGACTGGCTGCAACAAAAGAGCAGAAATACTGTAGACATAAATCGGCGCATGCGGGTTTCTCGCGCGTGATCGAGGACGGTCAGGAGAAGGAGAGATACCGCACCTCCCGACTGAGACTAAGATGCGGCGTTCGTCTCTCCGCAACAAGGTGGCCCGTTGCAGGTGCTATCCACCTGTTCTGCAGGGAGCGCCGGCCGGGCCGAACACCTCAGTGGACCCGGCTACCTGCCACTGACCCAGCGCGCAATATACCCGCGCAAACGGCGGCCATAACGGCCCGACTGTCCCGACCTTCTTTGTGCATTGCATGCACTGCTTGCAGGTCCAGGAGCCTTTCTCTTGCTTCGTCAGCCCAACTGGCTGGTTACCTTTGGTTCCCCTTGGGACCAGTACGTCGACACATCGTGTGCCGCATGTATGGATCGTGTCCGGCAACTGAAGACCGGTAGGGCAAGGACCAGTACCACCAAAGAAACCCCAGTGGCACTCGCGGGCGCGACCAGCATTGCCTACTGTGTAGCAACGCCCTGCAAACAGTGATGCGTGCTCGCCTATTGGCGATAACAACACTAAAGAGGCAAAGGTACCAGCCAGCAACAGAAACAGATTGGTCTTGGCGTTCACCGAGGGTCTCCTATACAGCAGGAACAGGAATCACTGTGTTGGAGGCCCGCTGCTGGGGTGAAACCGAAGCTTTCGTCGATGTCGCCAGCATGAAAATACGGGTCTACCCTACCCGCTTGTCTGTCTTAGTCAAGTCGTCGAGTACGAGATTTAGTGGCAGTCAAAAACTGAGCCGCCGTCGAGACTGTCACCGCGGGCGCTGATTGGTTCCGCTGGTGTGATTTCACTCGCAACGTACTGTGCCTCGCCGCCCTTGTCCTGACACAAGGCAATCCTGCCAGCTAATAGCGCGAGACGCCCTTCAGGAATCTGTGATCGGTGACCAGGGCGGCAAACAATATCGACCGCCACCGAGGTCACCTGCTGGAAGCGAGCCGGATACTGAATTGCCCGGCCGTGATCACTATTGTTGAAACACTGGAGAGAACAATTAGGTGAAAACTTCGTCAGCAAGAGATGACATTTCCAGTCGGTCGCTCGTTCCCGCTACTGACGCCCGAAACTGGTGCTGTTGATGTCTGAGTCCGCAAACCCGTACCAGGCTCCGCAGTCGGAGGAGTATGAAGAACCCACGCTGTCGGACGACGCTGAGTTCCTCATTTCCGCCGGGGAGATCCTGTGTCGGGAAACCGTGGAGCTGCCGAAAGTCTGTATCCACACCGGCCTGACGGAAGAACTGGTCCAGCGCCAGCAGACATTTCACGCCAGCCGGATTCGACTGTTTGTACCGCTGCTGATTCTGGGTGTGATTCTGATCCTGATGTCCGGCACCGCCGGAAGTGTTGAGCTGTTTATTGTGTTTGTCGTCCTGAGTCTGCTGGCGACTCCCGTCTGCAGTCGTCTGGGAGTCCCTGGCTTCGTCCGTGTGTCAGCGACCTGGTACGTGGCGCAACGGTACCTGCGCCGCTGCCAGTGGGAGGCCTGGATCATTCGCGGCATCATCTTCGTGGTGACGGCCGTGCTGGGGCTTGCGGTCTCGCATACAACCATTCGACCGGCAGCCGGAAATACGCTGGAACGCGTGTTGTACGGACTGATCCCCGCCGCCGTGTGCAGCGCCATCAGCCTGTTCCTCAACGTCGAAAAACGGATTCGCTGTTCGGGGATCCGGATGCGCGGTCGGCACAGGGGCCTGGTGTCACTCACCGGCCACAGTCGAACGTTTACGGAAGTTGTGGAGCGGATGATTCACGGCGGGTTCTGAACAGCCGTCAGCTGTGCATCCGCGGCAGTTCGCAGCCTTCGTCAATGATGCCTGCTTCCAGTGCGGCCAGTTCTGCCAGTCGTTCGCGAACTTCCTCGGCGTCACCATACGACTGCGCCAGCTTCACGTACACGGCATGATGGCGCGCTTCTGACTCACACAGGTCCCCCCAGAACCGGCTCAGCTCCGTATCCTGCACATGATCTCGCAGCAGCTGAAACCGCTCACAGCTGCGCGCTTCAATCAGGCCGGCAATCAGCAGGCGGTCGACGGCTTTGTGAGGTTCCTGACGCCGAACCAGTTCCTTCAGCCGACGCCCGTACGGCCCAGGCTTCAGCTTGTGAAAGCGAATCGATCGCCGGTTCAGGATCTCCAGCACCAGGTGAAAGTGCTCCAGCTCTTCATTCACGATCTCCGTCATCTCGCGGCAGAGGTCCTGATTCTCCACGTAGTCAAACATGAGATCCATCGCGGCGGCGGCGGCCTTCTGTTCACAGTGCGCGTGATCGATGAGGATTGAATTCAGATCACCGTCTACCTGAGCCAGCCAGCGGTCCGGAGAAGTGGAATGAAGATGCAGCATGAGTCTTTCAGGATCGTCAACGGTACAGCGTCGGAAACAGGAATCGGATCCGGCGGAGCGTGAGACAGCAGCGGCCGTCGCCACAGCATTCAGATATCTTTCTTCGCGGCCGTGCCTCCGACAATGTCGGTCACATCTTTCCGGTCATCCGACCAGGCGTCCAGCTGCACAATCTTTTGCCAGATCTTGCGGCTGAGTCCGGTGGTGAGCGTTTCGATGTCGTTCACAGCTGCCACCACGACACTGTCGGGCAGACTTTGAGCATACAGCGCGGCCAGCTTGCCAACGATTGACAGCAGTTCCGAACAGTAATCCAGATACCGGGTGAGCTGAAAGGCGGTCATTGTTCGTTTGGGCGACGATTCTGTCGTCACACTGGATGAGCCAATCACACGTGTGGCATCCTTGGTCAGCTGATGCATGTCAATCACGTGAGCGATTGCCCGCAGTTCATGCAGGACCCGCTGAGCACGAGTGCGTTTGATGCGGGCTTCGATCCCAAACAGAAATATCAGCGCTGCACCGCCCAGCAACAGTTCGTTGCTGATCATATCGATGAGTTCCACGAGGCCCTTGAACGTCATCCGTTCGCCCTGAAGCTGCAGGCTTTCCCGCAGTTGCAGACCGCTGTAGGCGGCCAGCCCGGCGAGCAGCAGGAGCAGCAGGCCCACACCGATTCGAGTCGGATAGTGCGGGCAGCCGATCCAGGTCACGCGCTCTCGTGTTTCACCGGCAGCGGCGTACAGGTCGCGCGCCACACCGGAAAGTCCTGAATCCGGAAACCGCTCTGAGATTCGGTTGCACAGCCGGTCCAGAGTCTGAATGGTGCAGTCAACGTCTAACTGTCGGTACACAGGGCTCTCAGTCGCCTTCTGAGGTTTCTTCTGTTGATGGCAGCGGTGGCAGGGCGGTCACATCCACTCCTGGCAGCCGGTCGCCTCGTTTCGGGCCATCAAAATCAATCAGTCTGGCGCTGTCAAACGAACCGCTGGTGGAGGGGGATGAATCAAATTCCGGATCTGCCATTAACAGGGATTCAGAAATGATCTGAGCTTCCGCCAGTGCCACTTTCTGACGAAGTGACGGATCGAACCATACCACGGGAACCGCGGCTGGCTGCATGATCACCGGATTGGCCCGGCTGGGCAGGCGAAAGGCGACTGTCACTCCGTCTGCCGTCCACTGAGCGTCCGCAGAACCAAGCCGCACCAGGGCTTCCTGAGGCGTCAGGACGGATTCTCCGCAGGTGAGCTCCACCCACATCGATCCGGATCCTTTGCTCGACACCACATCAGCAAAACTGCGGCCACCCAGCTGAGTGACGCGATCCATATTCAGACGGACTCGAGCCGGAGAGCCGGTGTCGCAGCGCCAGGCCGTTTCGGTCGAGTCAAACAGCACGTTGTCCAGCACGAAATGACCGGGCGCGGCTGTTGTGTGGATTCCAAACCGATCCGCCAAAAACACCGAGTTGTTTACGCGAGCCACTGTGGAACCCGTTGCCGCCGGAGTCCAGCGAAGTCCTGTGTTGCGTCGCTGCTCGCGGTGGCCCACGATCACCCGCTCCAGCTCCAGCAGCCGGCACCGAACATCCAGCAGCTGACGAGCCGCTCCGGTGGTGTCACCCTGATCCTGAACCTGTATTCCCGACAGCTGCAGCTGATCTGCCTGGATCTTCCACGTGGACGACGATGGAACGTGCACCACGGCCGGCTGATCTCCTGCCGCCGCGATGCGCAGAGTGCCTGGCTGGCGCAGTTCACGCGCTACATAGCTTTGACCGCCGGTCAGCCGGATGACGCCATCCGGTGATACCTCCGGCAGCTGCAGCGTTTCAGCGACCGGTTCCGACGGTGGTTCGAGCGCAAATTCGGTGAGCTGTTCTGTCTCCGGCGCAGCGACCGTCGCGGGGGTCCGCGTGAGATTCAGCGGCAGCGGAATGAGATGGCTGCTGAGTCCTGCCATCACACAGACGGTCAAAGCTCCGGCCGCCCACGTCGTTCTCACCAGCCGTCGGCTCCGGAGTGTCGGCCGGCGGGCGACACTCACTGTGCTGCGGTCCGGAAGACGTCGCAGCATCGCGCGCGTCGCCGACACACCTGAGGCTGTGAGCGGCTTCCACGTTTCCAGAGCCTCGGCGGCAGACTGCGGACGCAGTTCAGGCCGCCGCCGCGTGAGCAGCTGTATCCCGCGAGCGATCTCGGACGGACAGTCGGGTACCCACTGGCGAACATCTGCCACATCCCGATCACGACACTGCATCAGGAACGTCACCGGATCCGCTGAAATGGAAGTCGGGCGCGCTGTCAGCAGCTGCCACAAAACAGTTCCCAGGGAATACAGATCGCTGACGGAATCGTGTCGTCGGCCACTTCCCGCCAGTTCCGGCGCACAATGCTGTACTTCCCGCAGCTGCAGATCCGCTCGAAATCCGATTGTTGGTCGCAGCAGTCGGGCAGCAAAGGGGTCGACCAGCACCGCCTGGCCGTCTGACCGCAGACGAATGTTGCGCAGTGAAATGTCGCCGTGCACCAGATCGGCCTGCTCCAGATCATCAATCCCCTGCAGCACGCCCCTGCCGATTTCCACGACCACCTCCCACGGCAATCGGCCTCCTCGAATCAGCAGTTCGTCCAGCTGCCAGCCGGCGATATACGGGCTGGCCAGCCAGCCTCCGTCTTCTGTTTCATGCGGCACGAATTCACGCGGCAGACAGACGTGCGAAGACACAGAACGTTGCGCGTAGGCCGTCGTTTCAATCAGCGACTGACCCCGTTCAGCCAGCTGCACGCTGGCCGGACCGTCCTGCCCCGTCAGGCGACTGACGACCACAATGCGACTGCGATCCGGAGTCTCCGCCTGCCATGTTCTCTGACCCAGAGGCTCCCGCAGACGATAAAGCCCCTGTCGCATATTGAGCGGGTCTGATGACTGCAGACACTGTGCCTGCCAGGGAGTCAGCAGACGATGGGCCACCAGCACATCCAGCCAGCAGGAATCAAATCCGGGCAGGTCACCTGTCAGCCGCCGGACTTCCGATTCGCACGCCAGCAGCTGCGACGGCGTGCACAAATGCAGCTCCGACAGAAGTTCCTTGAGGTTGTCGGACGGTGACAGCATCCATGCGCACCTGATGAAATCCGTCAGGTGAGTCATCACGCGGCGAACTGATTCCGCCTGCCGCATGAGCGACCGGTGACTCCACAGTCACCTCATGACGCTCCACTCCCCTGCTGTGGACCCATCATCCTGGATCTGCGGATTTCAGGCAATATCCGCCGAATGAACGGCGATGGGCCTTAGACTCTGTGGACCTGTTTTTTTGGGAGGGCGAGGCTCCTGCCGAGCCGAATGCCAGGGAGAAAACACGGCTCAGCGGGAGCGTCGCCCTAACAGGAACGGCACATCGCGGGACTCATCCACAGAGCCTGGTGGACGACGGAACCGTCCGGGTGAGCTTAGTGGGCGATGGATCCATCCAGGTCGGTGCTGCCAGCGGCCGACGCGCCGCCACGACAAATCTCCGGCCGAGTGACCCGAATTTCGCGAGGAGCTTCGATGCCCACCTGCACCCGCCCGGTCTTCACACCCACAATGCGGACCGTGATATTCAGGTCGGGAATCACAATTTCTTCGTTGAGTTTCCGCGAAAGCACCAGCATTTCGACCTCCGTTTCCGTGTTCACGCGACTTGTTGTTGACAGTCAATGTCAACATTTTCGCGGAGGGCGCAAAGGCCAGTTTGGTCGGATTTTTTTCGCGGTGGACACCGTCGTGCCGACGTCTCTGCTACTCCGGACACTCGTTCAGCCGCACGGATCGCTCCGAAGAAGCCAAAAGCCGCGATCCGCCTGATATTTGGCGGGCGCGAAGATCTGCCGTAGAATCCGTGATTGACCGCACTCGACTCGACAGGAGACCGAAGAAGGGCAGCGGACAGTTTCATCCCGTTTACGTTAGATAACTGACAGCCCGACGAAAAAGTGTGGCATCGAAATCTCGCTGCCCCCGTTCTGAAGAACGTGGTCTCCCGTCTTTTTCCACCGGCTGCCAGGTAACAACTCGATTGACTGAGATGCAGCGGCGCGAACCGACTGCTTCCGGTTTCGTGGTTGTTTGGTACTCGCAGGAATCGCGACAGGTATGAGTGCACCCGATCCCATGAAAAAAGCGGCCCAGGAATGGTTTGGAAAGGGTTCCGAAGCGCTGAAGAAGGAGAACTTCCCGTACGCCGCCGAGTGTTTTGGAACCGCTGTCAAAATGCAGCCGGACAACGTGGTTTATCGTCAGACACGACACGGCAGCCTGGAGCGACTGTATGGCAACAACGGCAGCGGCGCACGCATGGCGTCGGTGCGTGTCATGGGCATCCGAGGCAAAATCAAAAAGGCAAGACTGCAGAAGAACTGGTCGGCCGTTGATCAGGCCGCAGAAGAAGGCCTGTCGCTGAATCCCTGGGACGCTCAGATGTACGCGGAGGTCGGGGAAGCTGCCGTTAACCGTGAGGCGGCCGACGTGGCCAAATATGCGTGGAGCAAAGCGGTCAAATACGACCTGGCAAACATCGGCTACAACCGGTCACTGGGCTACGTGCTGCGGGACTGCCACGAATACAAGGCGGCTCGGGACTGCTTCAAACGCATCTACGAAGCAGATCCCACAGACGCTGAAGCTCGGAATATGATGAGTCAGCTGGATGCGGAATCCGTGATGCATCGTGGCGGTTACGATGTGGCCGAAACAACGCGCGACGTGGCTGACAGGAAGGAAGAAACAGTCGACGCGTACGAAAAAGACCGTCGTGCCCGCAAAGGCCAGCAGATGACGGCCGACGCCCCGGGAGAGTCTGATGAAGCCGACCTGAGGCACGCGATTCGCAAAGACCCGGACAACCTGAACAACTACCTGCGGCTGGCACACTACTATCAGGAACAGCGTCAGCTGCCACAGGCACTGGAGCTCTACGATCAGGCGCTGGAGAAATCACCGCACAGCACCGACATTCTGGAGTTTAAGGAGGACGTCGAACTGGACATCCTCCGCGATAAACTGGCTGACACGACGGAGCTGCTGCGCAAGTATCCCGACAGGAAGAACCTCCAGGAGAAAGTCAGCGCCCTGCGACTGCAGCTGGTCAAACAGGAGATCGCCGTTCTGACGCCGCGGATTGAGCGGCATCCTCAGGACATGAAGATGCGCTTCGATCTGGCGGAACGGTTCCGTCGAGTGAAGAAGTTTGCCAAAGCCATCCCGCTGTATCAGCAGGCCAGTGCAGACACTCGTCTCAAAGAAGATGCTCTGGTCTGGCTGGGGGAATGCTTTATCCGCGATGGCAAGCTGGAACTCGGAAAACGGCAGTTTGAAAAAGCCATCGGTCTGCTCAACGCCACGGACAAGCCCGATCCGTTTAAGCTGGCTCACTACCGACTGGGACAGATCCACGAAAAGGCGGGACACCGGGACGAAGCCGACCATCACTACACGGAAATCCTCAGCATCGACTACAACTACCGGGACGTCCAGGAGCGGCTCGAAAAACTGCAGGGAGGCGATGCGGGGCTGCAACTGGATGAGGATGAGGTCCACGATTGAATCGTGGCTGCTTCAGGGCCAGAATCGGAACGCCGTCGCCCGGCCCGTCACTCTGCCATCTGCCACGAACTCAATCCGACCGTTCGTGGCCTGGAATTTACCCCTGTCATCGACCTGATCCATGTCAGCCGACCAAAGCGAACACTCGACTGCAGCGTCTCCGGATACGGTCGGTTCGTCCGTCCCCGACCGCTCTTCGGGCTCCGGTCCAGCGGCCGATGTTCCGCCGTTCGTTCCGGCGGTCGGGATTCGTGGAGGACATCGGCAAACCATCGTGGGCACGCTGCTGACAGGGCGCGTCCGTCTTCCCGACACTGTCCAGCGGAAAGTTAGAGTCTCCGACGACGACTACATCGTCCTGCATGACGATCAACCGGATGCCTGGAAGCGAGGCCAGCCGGTCGTCCTGATGCTGCACGGCCTCTCCGGCGGATACGACAGCGGCTACATGCAGCGCATCGCCGCCAGACTGCACAACCAGGATGTCCGAGCGTTTCGCATGGACCACCGCGGCTGCGGTGCCGGTCATGGACTGGCTCAGAAGCCCTACCATGCCGGCCGGATCGATGATCTGCATCGAGCGATCGCCGCCGTCGAAGCATTGTGCCCCGATTCCCCGATTTCTGTCGTCGGCTTTTCACTCAGCGGCAACCTGGTACTGAGGTATCTGGGGGACCGCAGTTTTGATCACTCCGCGCGGCTGCATCGCGCGGTGGCTGTCTGCCCGCCGGTCGATCTGCGCCATTGTGTCAGCAAACTCGACACCACGCGGGCCGGCCAGCGGTATGACCGGTATTTCACCCGCCGACTGATCAGCCAGATCGCCAGTGGCCCGCAGTGGCGCAACGACGTCCCCCTGGCCCAGGTCAAACGCCTTCCACACCGGCTTTACGATTTCGACGACATGTACACGGCGCCGGCGTCCGGATTCGGTCGAGCAGATGACTACTATCATTTCGCTTCGGCCAGTCCCTACATCGGCGACATTAAGCTGCCGACGACCATTCTGGCCGCAAACGACGATCCACTGGTTTGTCCGCGGCCGCTGACGGACCTGTCGCTGCCTTCCAGCGTCAGTTTATGTCTCACCGATCATGGCGGGCATCTGGGCTATGTGGCTCGCCGAAATGATGACCAGGATCGTCGCTGGATGGATTGGCGAGTCATTGAATGGCTGCTGAATTGAGCCGTCACATTGCTCTGTTGTTCGAGTTTCCGACACTCAACGGCGGCGAGCATTCGATGCTGGCGGTGCTGAACGGGCTGGTCTCGGAAGGTGAGTTCCGCTTCAGCGCGCTGGCACCCTGGCACGGCCCGCTGGCGGAGCACCTGCAGGGACTTGGTATCCCGGTTCACCCGTTCTCCGTGCGCCCCGATTACGGACCGTCGGACCGGCGTCTGGAGGAACTCGGCTTCCCGGTACACCCGTCCACTCGTCGCTCTGGTTCGGGACGCAAACGAGAGACCGCCGAACTTCTGCCGGAGCTGCAGGACATTGTGCAGCAGCACCAGCCGGCGCTGGTGCATGCCAACAGCCTGTCCATGTGCCGGCTGCTGGGACAGGCCCGCGCTCAGCTGAAAGACGTTCGCTGCACGGGCCACATTCGCGACATCATGAAACTCAGTGCCGCCGCGATCCGCGATTTGAATCAGCTGGACGGCCTGGCAGCCGTGTCCCAGGCCACACAGCAGTTTCATGTCGCTCAGGGACTGGACGAAGAGCGAGTGACCGTCATCTACAACGGAGTCGACACGGCGCGATTTCGTCGAAGAGACCGGGCCGACGCGCGTCGCGCACTGCTCCCGAATCTTCCGGCCACAGCGAGAGTCGTACTGAACGTGGGCCAGATCTGTTTGCGCAAAGGTCAGCTGGATCTGGCTCAGGCCATTGTTCAGCTGCTGCGCGACTCTGACGACCTGCATCTGGTGCTGGCCGGTGAGCGACACTCCGAGAAAGCCGAGAGTGTTGCTTATGAGCGGGCGATTGTTGGCGCGTTTGAGTCAGCCGGGAAAGCCGACCATCTGCATCGCCCAGGATACTGCGACAACATCGAGCACTGGATGAACGCAGCTGATCTGCTGGTCCATTCCGCTCGCCAGGAACCACTGGGCCGTGTCCTGCTGGAAGCGGCGGCCAGCGAGCTTCCCGTTGTCGCCACGAATGTGGGCGGGACGCCGGAGATCTTCCGCCAGCCGGATTCCGTCGTCCTGGTGCCTCCCAATGACGTCAACGAACTGAGTTCCCGCGTGGAGGAAGCGCTCCGTCGACCTGATCGATGTCGCCGGATGGCGGCGCGTGCACGTCAGGGGATCGAAGAGCGGTTCACAACGCAGCAGGCGGCCGACAGGCTGCGAGAATTCTGGCAAACCGCAACCTCACCGTAGCACCAGTGTCCCCCAGACAGACTCTCTGTCGGGACAATGGTCCCAACCTGCCGCCGTTCATTCGCACAACCGAAGCCACAGGCGAGGTGCCCGGCAGCGTCTGCGGTTCGGGCTGAACAAAGCACTGCCGACGGCACCTCACCTGAGCACTACTCCGCTTTGGGAACCACAAACAAAATCTCGATCGGACGCCGTTCTTTGGTGAACTGCAGCTGTGTCTGCCGAGTCATGTTTCGCAGCACTGCCTGACTGGCTGATGAACCTCGATACCAGTCCAGCCGAATAGATACCAGCTGCTGCACGATGGCCCTGGGATCACTGTCTTCACGAACGACCCAGTCGCCCGGCAGCGTTTTGTTCAACAGTTCGTCTGATCCGTTCAGAAACTGAGGCTTGATCCCGGCCAGTGCATTGAGGATTCCCGCAACGCTGTATCCGCCATTTTCCGAATCGCCAAATGTCGCACCCCAGCTGCGCAGCTCCTCACCGTTCCAGCGGTACGTCATCGCTGAGGGGCCTGCTGGGATCGCCTTCGCCTGCGACGGGTTGCCCGTGCGGTAGTATTCCATCCGCTCCGCCGGAAACGGTCGACTCACGTGACCAACCAGCTGATCCGGCTCCAGCTTGTACCCGTGCCGACTGGCCATCGTCTGCAGGATTGGTTTGGCGTTCTCTCGGAGCGTTCGCAGCATATCGGAACCGGTGTCCTCTGCCGCGTCAGCGGGCGGATCCTCAGTTGATACTGGATCCGGCTTCCGCTGCAGCGTCAGGTCGACATCGACCAGATCCGGTTGTCCTTTGACCAGATCCAGCTGACGAACAATCTGCGGATCCGGATAGACAAACCGATCAGGCAGACCGCTGAAATACAGACGCACCGGACCGGAAGACAGCGACAGTCGATATTGACCATCATCGTTCGTGGAGTCGCTGTCGAGACCACTGCCCAGTTTGCTGTCGCTGATCGCAGACAAAGTGGCTCCCTGAACAGGATTGCCATCGGAATCCAGCACGCGACCCGATACCTGGATGGCGGTTTCCAGTTCCAGATTCTGTCGGGTGGTGCGGTCGCTGTTAACGCGGATGTCTTCGATCGGGCGCACTACCCAGCGCTCATTCGGATCAGCGGCCGACAACACAAAGTCCCAGTCGGGCAGGCCATCCAGCAGAAATCGGCCGTCCTGGTCGCTTGTGGTGCGAAATGTGGTGGCGAAGGCAACGCGCTGATTGCCGTCAGAAATGATGCGTGCTGACACGTCCGCGTTTTCAACGGGTGCACCGTCCGGTGACAGAACCTGTCCCGCGATCCGTCCTTCCTCCTGCATCGTCAGCGCAGCCGGTTTGTCGGTTTTGTTACCGTCGGTTCGCCATTGCCCCTGTCCCAGGCCACTGCCTTCGGCCAGCAGATACACGCGCCCTCGGACCGGGATATCCCGAAACTGAAATCGGCCCTGCTGGTCGGGGCGCTGTGTCAGAACCTCCGGCAGCGCTTCGTGCAGCCCCATGAACTGATCGTGTCGCGCAAAACTCTCGTATTCCCACGGTCCCTGGCCGGTGAAAACATGCAGAACCTGAATTCGAACCAGCACGTTTGCCGGATCGAAACCATCCGGCACGCTGAGTTGCCCATCGAGCGGCTGCGATGGCTGCATCTTCACCACACCCCCTTCATTGTGTGGGTCTCTGCCGGTCCATCTGGCAGAACGAGCGACACCGACCAGTTGGCCGGG